CAAGAGAGACACTTGAGGGGTTTACAGCGACAACTGCCGAAGGAAAACCGCAAAAAGAAATGCGCAGAGGAGACGGAGAAGACCAGTGGTCACCATCTACAGACACCTGAATAAGCAAATAAACAAATAAATAAATTAATTAATTAATTAATTAATTAATTAATTAAATTAAATTAAATAAATAAATAAATAAATATAAACAAAAGTGTGTAACCGAATATATAAAAATATGTAAGACGGAGAAGACCAGTGGTCACCGTCTACAGACACCCGAACAAATAAATAAATTAATCAATTAATTAAATAAATAAATAAACAAATAAAGTAATAACAAAGAAACAAATAAAATAACCGAATAAATACGTAAATAAATATATATGAAAATAAACAAACAAATAAATAAAAAATAAATAACAGAAGGCAATAAAACTAAAGAATGAAGAAGTAAGCATGTAGACACACCGGCTAATAAACAAACAAATACATTAAAAAATAAACAAAACAAGTGCACACAGTGTACAGCCAGCTGCTGTGTCCTTGTTGCTTGCCGCCGCTGCCTAGCTAGCTAGCTAACCAGCTAGCTAGCTAGCTAGCTAACTCGTTAGTCTGTATAGCTAGGTTGGTGTGTAGCTAGCTAGGCTTTACAGCTGGCTAGCCAGCTGTACAGCTAGCAGGCTAGTTCTACAGTGATTTAGTTGGTTGGCTAGCTACCTAGCTAGTTAAACTGAAGGGTAAGCCAGCTAGCTAGCCAATGACCTAGCTAGCTAGCTAGCTAGCTACACTGAGGGCCTAACCTGGAGGGCTGCTGAAAGGACACGATCAGGTGTAGTTTGCTGCTGCAGCTGCAGCCAGCGGCGTAGCTGTTTGCTGCTGCGGGGATTGATAATGAGACCCCCACGGCCAAGCGGCAGCACCGAGCAGCTGCTGCAGGGCTCTACAGGTGCAGCAGCAGCAGTAGCAGCGGGAGCAGCAGCAGCAGCAGCATCAGCAGTGCGTGAGGCTCTTAGGCCTCGGCTTGCTGCTGCTATCCGCCGCAGACGCTCAGCAGCGTTACCGCCAAAGAAGACCCAACCTGTGCAGTGCTGCTGCTGCTGTTGCTGCTGCTGCAGCTGCTGGTGTTGCAGCAGCTGCTGCTGCAGGTGTTGCTGTTGCTGCTGCTGCTGCTCTTGCACTTCTTCCTGCTGCTGTGGCTGCCCTGCCGCATCGCCGCTTTCCTCTGTAGCAGCAGCATCATCAGCAGCATCAGCAGCAGCATCAGCAGCAGCGTCAGCTGCAGCAGCAGCATCCGCAGCCCCCGGCGCAGCTGCTGCCTCCTCCCAGCAGCATCTTTGGTTGAGGGAACTGTCGAGCCCTGCTGCAGCAGCAGCAGGATCTGCTGCTAAGATCTCGCTGCAGCAGCTAAAGTCTGCTGTCTCCTTTGCTGCACGAAGTACAGGGCAGCAGCAAACAACCTCTCCGTCAGCCCCCAACCAGCCCTTGAGCACCACCTCCACCTCTTCAACTTGCTGCTGCTGCTGCTGCTGTTGCTGTTGTTGCTGCTGCTGATCCTGCTGCGGGGTGTCTGGGGAGTTCAGCAGCCGCAGCAGCAGCAGCGCTGGCTGCCGCATTCTTTCGTTTCCTGCTGCTGCCTGCCCAGTTGTATCGCAGCAGCAGCAGCTGCAGCAGACGTGCCGCTGCAGCAGCTCTTCCTGCTGCTGCTGCTGCTGCTGCTGGATCTTAGGAAGGCCGCTAACACTCAGCCACAGCCTGCCGCCTCCTTCAAGCGGCAGCAGCTGCGGCTGCACTTGCTGCAGTTGAGCAGCAGCAAAAACAACTAACGAGGAGGGCCCGCATGCAACGCGAGAGAAACGTAGAGGAAAGGAGACTCCAAACCCCACCTCCGCTGCAGCAGCACCACCAGAAGCAGCAGCACAAGCAATAGCAGCAGCAGCAGTAATAGCAGCAGCAGCAGCAGTAATAGCAGCAGCAGCAGCAAAATTGTCACAGATAGCAGCTGCAACAGCGCCACCGGCATTACTTTTCCTGGCGCTGCAGCAGCTGTAACATAAACAGCAGATTCAACAGCAGCAGCAGCAGTAGCAACAACAACAGCAGCAGCAGCAGCACCAACACCAGCAGCAGCAGCAGCAGCAGCAGCAGCAGCAGCTCACTGGGGATAGTCATGGAACTGGTAACAGCCGGAAACCCACTGCAACTGCTGCTGCCCTCCTGAGAGCAGCAGCAGCAGCTGCTGCTGCACCAGTTGCTGCTGCTGTACTCCTGCTGCTGCTGAGTGTCTGTACACCTGGAGGGCGGGCAGCCTTGCAGCAGCAGCAAACCACTTTGCGTCAGCAGCGCAGCAAAACCACTGCCTGCAGCAACTTGCACAACTGGAGGAAGGAGCCCCCTTGTAGTCCCAGCCAAACAGCTGCTGCTGCACTTGCTGCTGCTGCTGCTGCTGCAGCAGGATGCATGCAGGATTTGCTGCGGCAGATAGCGGGGCCGTGTGTCTCCCAGCCCCAATTGCCCGTAGCAGTTGAGGCCCCACGCCCAGACAGAGCCAGCAGCAGCAGTAGCAGCAGGAGCAGCAGCAGTTGCATCGTCAGCAGCAGCAGGAGCAGCAGGAGCAGCAACAGCAAGAGTGAATCCTTCTCCAGCAGCAACTGCAACAACAGGGTGCGGCAGCTGCAGCAGCTGCGGCTGCTGCTGCACTCCGCTGGGCCTCCCTATGCCTAACTCCCCACACATGTTGCTGCCCCAGGTGAAGCAGCAGCCGTTTGCTGCTGCTGCAACAACGTGCTCCTTGCTGCAGCAAATTGCAGCAACACTCCGCCGCAAGCGCACAGGCAGCAGCAGCCGAGGCACCAGACACCACTGCACCACCTGCTGCTGCTGCTGCTGCTGCTGCTGCTGCTGCTGATGCTGCTGCAGCAGCTCACCCTTGCAGCAAATTCCCCATCCAAACAAACCAGTAGGGGTGTCTATGAGTGCATATGAAGCCCCAGCAGCTAGAGTGTATATGCAGCTGCTGCTGCCAGCACGAAGCCCTTTTACATGCACGCTGTTGCTGCTGGTGCTGCTGCTGTTGCTGCTGCTGATCTTGTTGTTGTGTCTTGTCACGGAAAGCAACGCCCCGTCATTAGTGCTCAGCAGCAACTGCTGCTGCTGCGGCCGCTGCTTCTGCTGCTGCTCTGGCTGCAGCGGCTCGATGCAGCACAAGCCGTTCACCACAGGCCCCCCACTGTAGCGCAGCTCAACGCTGCAGCAGCTGCTGCAGCTGCTGCAGCTTCTGCAGCAGCAGCTGCTGCTGCGACTGGAGCTGCTGCTACTGGTGGTGGTGCTGCTGCTGCAGCAGCCCATTGTTGCTTCTGCAGAAGCTGTGACCGACGGGCCCTCGTTGCTGCTGCTGCAGTCACTGCAGCAGCACTTGCAGTCTTTGGTTGTTCCCCTGCTGCTGCTGCTGCTGCTGCTAGCACCGAAAAAACAGATGCACTGAGTCGCTTCGCATGTGCTGCTAGGAGCAGAAGGAGCAGCAGCAGCAGGAGCAGCAACAGCAGCAGGAGCAGCAGCAACTGTGTTGCAGTCTGCTACTGTGTGCGGCTGGGTGAGGGTTTCTGCCTCGTCTGCTGCTGCCGCTGCTTCTTCATCGGTCGGTGCTGCTGCTGCTGCTCCTGAAGCACCAGTGTCGCTCTCCGTCTCATTGTGCTCCTCCTGTTGCTCCTGCTGCTGCTGCTGCTGGTGCTGCTGCTGCAGCGCAGCTGCAGCCTGCAGCAGACGACGCCTCAGCCGAAGGGGACAGGGGACCTCAAAGGCAGCAGCAGCTGCATGTACACCTGAAGAAAGCTGCTGCAGCACAAGCCCCTGCAGCGCTTCATGTCTCCGCAGCTGCCCACATGAGCCCTTGTGCAGCACCAGGATCTCACCCATCTCCCCGCTGCTGCTGCTGCTGTTGCTGCTGCTGCTGCTGCGGTCACTGCCGCCTGTGCAGCAGCCCAAGGAGGCTTCGGTGCAGCAAAGCTGCTGCAGCGGCACAGCAGGCGGCCTCATCTTTTGCCGCTGCTGCTGCTGCATGCAATCGACTGTTCTCTAAGCCCTAACCACTAAACCCTTAGTGCTAATTGGTGAGCAGCATAACGACGCATGCAAAGGGTAGAGAGCTCAGATTTGCTGCAGTTGCTGCAGATGCCGCATGCAGTGCATTGGTTGTTCTTGCTGCTGCAGTTGCTGCTGCAGTGGCTGCTGCAGTTGCTGCTGCAGTTGCCGTTGCAGCTGCTGCATATTTGCTGTCCTCGCGGTGTATATGCAGCGGGGGAGGAGATTGCTGCTTCAGGCTGCAGCACACCCCTTTGTTGTTTTCTTCTTTCTGTGTTCTTTAAGGCTGCAGCATTTGTCTAGGGTTTAGGGTTTAGGGTTTAGGGTTTATACAGCACTACTCAGTTCCTGTCTCCTGCGGCCGCAGATGGGTGCTGTTAGTTTGTCTGTCTCTGTCTCTTCATTTGTTTGTATGTTTGTCCGTTTGCTTATAATTATAATTATTATTATTGTCGCCTGTCTACTCTTCACTCTCCCCGTCTCTTGTCTTGCATGCAGCCCTCTGGTGTTGTCTTTTGCTGCTGCTGCAGCGGGTCTAGGGTTTATATTTACCTCGCAAGACACCCCATAAGATGAGCTGCCTATACACCTCAAGCTGCCTATACACCTGAAGCTGCCTATACACTGCAGAAAACAGAGCCCTGGGAGCGTCTGTGGCTTCTGCTCGGTCTTCTTTGCTTTTTATCTCGAAATAAACATTTTAAATATATTTAAAATAATTAAGTGTTCATTTAATCTAATTTAATTTAACTTTTTATGTACTTCACGAAGACAGAGGCCCTGTTCAAGCCCCAGCCGCCTCCTGTTGCAGCAGCAGGAGCAACAGCAGCAGCAGCAACTGCTGCTGCTCCAGCAGCAACAGCAGCAGCCTGCGCAGCTCCCCGCAACCTTGCAAAGCAGCAGAAGACCTAATAGAAGAAACGAATTATTTAAATATTACTAAATACTCAGCGTAAAACAGCAGCAGCAGCAAAAACAACAGCATTATAAATACAGAAGAGTCCCTAAAGGCAGCAGCAGCAGCAGCAGCAGCAAATGAATGTACGGGGGCCCCCTGGGGCCCCATGAGGTCCTGGAAGCAAATGCATTGACCTAATGAAGTAAAGGTTTGAATGCAGTTTAAATGTTTTAGGGTTTAGGGTTTAGGGTCTGGGGTTTAGGGTTTAGGGTTTAGGGTTTAGGGTTTGGAATTTAGGGTTTAGGGTATGACAGCAGCAGTATCGGGGGGGCCCCCAGGGGGCCCCTCTTCATCGTTGTTATTATTAGAAGACAAATTTAAAGCAGCAGAAGTGGAGTTGAGGGAAACAGACTTTGCAGGTATTATAATTAGGCAGCAGCAGCAGCAGCAGCCACAGCAGCAGCAGCAGCAGCAAATACACAAGCGGGTCATTGGATTGAGGGGCCTCCGTCGCCAGTGTATGGACTTCGATCAGCTGCCTCTAGCTGCTGCAGCTGCTGCTGCTGCTGCAGGCAGGCACAGAAAACGCTTGCCACGCAAAACAGCAAACAGCAGCAGCAGCAGCAGCAGCAGCAGCATAGTGCCTTCGGATCTACCAGAGACAGCGGTGGCAGCAGCACGAGCAGCAGCAGAAGCTGTTGTTGCTGCTGCTGCTAAGGGAGAAGCCAGCACAATCACTCCCGCAGCAGCAGCGGCAGAGGGTTCAGCAGCTGCGGAGGCAGCAGCAGCAGCAGCTGCTGCTGCTGCTGCTGCACTTCCTCCGGTGTTCGCATTTCCTCAATGCCCTGGGG